ACAGTGCGTCCAAGGTATTCATTATAAAACCACCAAAAGATGTGATCATCAGCCAAGTGACTATAGGTTGAGAGTTTCCCCTTTTTGCACATTTGTCTAAAAATATATTGTAACATGCATCAGTGATGTATACTCCTTGTAGGCTGCGTAGAATAGCACTGCAATTTTATTTTCTTCGGTTCTGCTGCGTGCAAATTAAGCATTCTAGTATCACTGAAATCGATGCAACTTACGCAATCGGAAGTATCTCCAGAAGTAAATAAATTACATTTCGAGGTACTTGTACTCTACTCAAGTTTGTTTGCGGGGAAAGTAACTTCAGTAGTATTCTAAATACTTTTTGAAGCAGGTATTTAGTAACCTACCTAAGTACTTTTGTCGAGTATCTTGTCCAACACTGGTTTATTCTCATTCGCGCAAAATATTTAATTTCTTTTTTTTTTTTTTTTAACTTTCCTCCGAAAATGTTTGCCTTGGATTTACTTGATATATTTAGAAAATAATAGAGACTTGAATACGCCTTTTCTAAAATGGCCTGCCATGCTGCCACATTTGTTCGAGGCCGTCTGATTTTGGGTAAGCAACTAGGAAGCAAGAGAGCTGCATCCTTGTTTGTCGGGGATCCGAGTTTAGACAAGAATATTGCGTGAATGCTCGATATAAACTCGGGCCAAATCACAAATCTCGCACTAAAAGCGATGTCCAAAATATGGCAGTGGCCAATGCTACTTGGTGGTGTTTTGAAAAGAGTTACCGAAAACCGTCAAAAGAATCTTTCGCGTCAACTTTTAGAGCGCAGCTCTTAGGCACCCGTTTCCGGCTTGAGCGGCGTCGCCGTCGGCGAAACGGTGAGGTTACGTAACCCTCGTGACGTCACTTGACCCCCGTCATGTCACGTGACCTCACGGTTACGCCGACGGCGACGCCGCTCGGAGGTAGAGTAGCAGGCAGGATGAGGGGGGAGGGGTATACCCTTCCCTCAGTACCCTTCCCTCCTCCTCCTCCTCAAGAGCTGCGCTCTAATTCGGTGTTACAGGGAGTTGTGAACGGCGTACGTTTTTTTTTTTTTTTGTCTGGTGAATAGCACACAGGCATAAACAATGCAAAATTTAGCAAACACAACGCTCGACTTTAGAGCAATAACGGTAGATTAAAACGCGTTTAAGGAGTTTCGTTCTGAGTTCCGGCGTAGCGGGCCTCGAATGCACAGTTTGACAGCCTCAGAGCTTGGAGGAATTAGGTGCAAATTGATCCTGGATCTTTTTAATTTACGATACACATTTTCTTACAAGCATACCATGAAAATACGCTTTTTCATTAACAAGTCTCGTATCACACGTATTGGTAATGTCTAAATACTGCCGTGTTGTAAGAGTGCCTTTTTGTTCTTTATTAGGCCGTCAAAGACAAGGGAGCACCCTCGGACAAATGTTGAGGTCTCGTTGATCGCTCAGCCCGCCCTATACGCCATCCATCAAAGAACCAGAGGCCATACTCTTCTGGTCTAAAGAGGGTGCACGTCGTGAAGTACTAGGCAGTGATCTGCGCAAATGGCATAATTTGTCAGCTGAACGGACCCTGCGAAGAGGCACGATGCAGGGGAATTTAACATGCTTTTTTTTGGTTCAATATTAGAATGTGTAAGCTGATCCCAGTGAAGCATATCCAAGCTTCCGCACTGAGCGAAATACTCGTCAAACTATACTGAAACGCATCTAGAAATATTTTAACAAAACGACATTTACTAACAACTGCCATTTTACTTCTCAGATGTTCGTGTGAATATTGCATGTAATCAAATTACGCGGTGTTACTGTTTGCTCCATGCACTGTAAATGTAGCCTGTGGTGCGTGGCCTTCCATTGCACCTATAGAAAACACCTTAACACAAGCGAGGCTGTAACTAGGTAGGAGCTCAAGCCTTAAAACGCACTTTCAAGAACTCTAAACAAAAATATAGAAACGAAAAAGAAATGCACTGAAGCAAAATGGTTTTATGTCATTCCCCAAGGGCCACTGTTAACACGAACACGATATAGACGGTTTTTTTGCAGTATATCTTTGACAGCTATTGAGAGCGCTCATATTTTGTCACTCATATTTGTGCCCCAAGCGAACGCTTTCTTCCGCACCAATAGGTTGATAGCAGCCCCTCAAATTTAAGATGAAAAGATAAAAACACTGTATCCATTGTTCGCGCTAACAGTTCCGCGCAGTGTAAATAAACACCAAGGTGCTCTATCACAAACCGAAGCATACGAACCAAAAAGAGCTCATTTCATTGAGAAAAAAAAATTTTTTTTCGCCCATAATGTGCGAAGAAACGAATGCGATAGCTGTAGCACGGTCGCGCAATGCAGGTGGAATAGCGCACCGTCACGTACCTGAGGAAGGACGTGCGACGTGGCTAATTTTAATAGCCGTCGTGGTTGGCGTCGTAGATGTCACTGACCGCCGCCACTAGTGCTCGGGGATCCGTGAAGTAAGTGGGTAAGCGCGGTGGAAGTTTCTAAAACCATCCAACATTACGCGTAGCAACTGTGGATGCTGCCAAAATGAGATTTCGCATAACGCGAGCAATGTTTGAAAACAAGTCTTTCAAGCAGACGACACGATGATTCGCCCTCCGTTGCGCAATTCTTGGCGGGGCGCCAGGGTTGCCCTCTTCGCATGTCTTCGCTCACTTCGCGCGGCACGACAGACGGGGAGTCCCGACTACCCTCTCCTCGCAACCTGAAAAAAAAAAAAAGTTTTTTTTTTTTTTTTTTTTTTTGCGCGCGTCCACGACAAGTGATGAGGACGAAATCTCCGCAAAGCGTCACCCATAAAGCTGTCGCTTTGAAAAGGAGAGATATAAATGAAGCACTGACTTTCGCTAATGTGCGGTGTCTTGCTGCCTGAAGTAACGGACAAATGATCTGTTCTTTCGCGGACTGCTCGTGTAGAAACATCGCGCCCGCTGGCTTCAACAAGGCAGCACCTGTTCCCACCGTTCAGGGGCCGCGAGGGGATTGCAGCGATTTCCTGAAGCAGCCGGAGGTCAACCGTGAAACGTTTTCTGAAGGATGGCGTCTCAAACGAAGTTTGCGCAAGTATCTTAGTGCAGCGAGGTGAATACCGGCTAAGCGCGTTCTCAAGCATGCTTCCAAATGGCTCGAGCTCCCATTTTGAATGACCTTGCAGAAACACACCATCTGTACTGAACCTTTACTGAGAGTGGAACAGGCTTCCTAAAACGGTGAGGAAAGCGGAGCTCTTGCTCCACTGTCAAATCCCAGAGCGGATCGCGCATGCGCAATGGCGACTTCGCTTTCCGTGGAGAAAACAGTCTACTAAAACTCGATTCCCATAATGCACAACGTGGCATTACGCCGCGATGAGGCGCTTCGAGTTTTGGAATAAGTCTATTCACATTTTGTGAATATACGAGCAATTAAAAAACCTTACCTCATACTTTCACGTCGGCTATAGTCACTCTAAGCAAACACCTTTATTCTGAAGCCTTTCATCCAGGAGCCATAGAGAGCGCGAGTCTCACACCGCGGTACCACCACCGTTGAAAGTTGCGAATAGCCTCACCCTGTATCCGACCCGCTTCCTGAGAGCCCTTGTTCTTTTCGGCAGCAAAATGTAGTCCCTTTTATCGTATATCGCCGAGAGCTTAGCGATCATGGGTATTATCTTCCCTTCTCTTGGTTCTTGATTCGCCTTGCAGTCTCAACGGCTGTGGTGCGATGGTATTAAGATTTTGTGTACGCATAACGAGCGACTTTATTTCCGCGTGCGATTTTCGCGATTTTTTTTTTTTGCCAAGTGTGAGTTTTGGGCGAGAGTACACAATTTCGCGACACTTAGTTATTGTGTAGTGGTTCAGCGTCTTCGAGGCCTATGTTTACCCAGAGACTCAGTATTTATTCGGTAACAATTTTCGATGTCGGTAAGAAAGTCCGTGCTTATGTTAAAAGGAAAAGTTACTTGTAAACATTTTTGTTCTTGTTTTTAACAGGCAAACGATGGAAAATATAACCCACGAACACATTAATATGAATCTATCCCTGCTGCAAGGAAAGGGATTAATTTTCTCACCGAGAATTTTCAAAAATAGCTTATTACTTTTTAGTCCGATAATAGCGCACTAGGTTCTCAAGCTTTGGTGCGGAGATTGAGCGTCCGGTGATGCGCGAGACTTGCTTTCGCATTTAAAAGAAAACAAAAGAAAAAGGAAACGTGCCTAGCACATATTAAAAGAAGAGCCGGCACGCGAAGCAGCGTTCCGCGCTGTGTTTTATATTGACAACAAGATGGCGGCTTGACTCTGGTAAGTTGTTTCATCGATCTGGTCGCTGTCATGGCAGCAACGATAGCATCACCCCGTTCTTCTTGTCGGAAAGCTGGTTTTCATCTGAAAGATAAAGGAGAGAACAATGATGAGAGGTACTTGAGTTCTGTACACGGGGTGTTATCTTATATTTGTACAGAACTGTCACAAAAAGTTAATGGGTGATACAGCTTCCCGACGCCCACATTAATGCACGAAGTTAAAAACCAATAAGGAGCTCTGAATAGCGAAGGCCGACAGGTATACAGCGAAGACTGGCACGCGTAGCGAAGGTGGGGATAAAGCAACGTTATGGATATAACGAAACAAAGTCGACGTATAAACTCGTAACACCTGTCCAGGCATTTCAAGTATTGGTGTAGACAAATTTGCTCCCCCCCCCCCCCCCCGGCCAAAAAAACAAAACACAAAAAAAAAACAACCACGATTTAGGTTTTTGTTGAATTGGTGTTGGATTCTGATCGCGTTATCTTGGCCATACGGTCGTTCGTCGCGCGCCGCGATTTTCTGAGTGACGTGGGTTGGCTCTCGTTCTCCTCCCTCTTTTACTCTGCCAAGCGGGCTATTGTTCTGGCACTGAACCCGCAGGCTTTCTCCCTAGCCTACGGTATATATTATAGCCCCCAAAGGAGACGGGATAAAAGCAGTATGTAACCGGAGATTAACTCCCGTCACGGCGTGGAATACAGAAGAGGAGCAATGACCTGCTGCGGGTCCTGTGGGGCTGTAAGAGGGCTTGCTTGACGCTCTGCGCCAGGGGAAAGTGCTTCTCCGAGCAGGCCCCCTCGTAATCGTCCCTGTCCACCTGGACGAGCATCACGCAGAAACCGGGGTACCTCTCCAGAGCCTTCCGGACCTGTGTGTTGAGAAGGAACGAGAGAGATGGCAGGACTGCCCATACAAATTCCAGTTATGTTAGAGCGCAACTCTTAGGCGCCCGTTTCCGGGTTTCGCGGCGTCGCCGTCGGCAGAAAAGTGACGTCACGTGACCTCAACAAAATTCAATTCCCCGCTAAATTTATCGGGGAAAATGACGTCACATGACTTGGTGTCACGTCACCTATGAACAAATTCAGTATCTCCGCTAGATTTAGCGGAAAAATAGACAACACGTGACCTCAACAGCCATTCAGTTCCCCTCTAAATTTAGCGGAAAAAATGACGTCATGTGACCTCACTACCAATTCAGTTTCCCCGATAAATTTAGGGGGAATGGAATTGCTGTTGACGTTAATTTGTCAGCTAAATTTATTGGGAAAGCTGTGGGAGGAGGGGGAGGGGAACGTACGGAGGAGAAGGATGGAAGGAGGAGGAAGAGTAAGGGAGGAAAGAAGGAGGGAGGGAGGAGTCCTCAAGAGCTGCGCTCTAATTTCACGTTACAGGGATTTGTAAACGCCTTTCATTTTTTCGTCTATCCAGCAGACCGTCGTATGCAGAATTGCCTTTTATGGGGAACGCAGCAGACGCTATAGTCACAATTAGACTTCCAGGCGCGCGACGCCGAGGTAAGGCCAAAATGAAAGCTAGCTGTATACCAGCCATTGAGGATGAAAGTGTCTTATAATGCAGCGACCGCCAGGGATTTGTTCCGAAGCGATCTACGCTCGCAGGCAAGGGCACCGCCATGTTTGCCGACGGTGTTTCTCAAATCCTCTGTCAGAGAAGCGAGCGCCAACACTTGAAGATTGTTTTGCAAGAAATTGACTTCCCCCTGAAATTGAGTGCAACTTGCGCCATCTAGGTGACTGGTTTCTACTGAAAGCATCCGCCGTACCAGGCGGACGTTTTCAGTGGCCACCGGTCTCCTAGAGGGCGCAAGTTGCGATCCATTTCAGGTGGAAGTAATTCTTACGTAAATGCGGTTTGGGTTCGGCAAATGCGTGGTGGTAAGCCCCTATTTTTAGGGGCCTCCAAGGGTCGCTACATTATCATGTAATGATTAATTTGGAAAGGTGGGTATAGGCCATAGGGTTCACCTTGGATGCGATGGTCTTTTCTGTGTCGTAGCCGACCCAAGTTTTGCCCTTGTGGGCGTAGAAGCCCAACGCTGGAGCGATGTATTTCACTTCATCCCAGTCTCGCTTGCAGATCTTTTGAAAGATCAAAGTGAGACAAAAAATCAGCACATCAACTTTGTGGAGCTTTGGTGACGCGCCCCGCATGTCAAATCAACTTGGAGCCTTAATTCGATAACGTATTTCTCAAATAAAGAAGGTGCCATGTACGTTGCTGCTGTCTATATATGCACTGTGTATTTATGGCGGACATTAGGAATCGAGTTTTAGAAAAGCGGGCCCCAACGCCTTGGTGGTTCAAGTTAGTGGTCGCATAGGCCCATATCACTGGCGACGCCTTAATGTGCAGAAAGCAGCAGCAAAACATCACCTGTAACGTCTAAACCTAGTTCTTGTAGCTTAGTCCCCAGAAAAATGCCAAAATCGCGCATGTTCGACAAGCGCTCGAGCAACTTCAACTCGTCGCGGCAAAACGAACACACCCCACCTTTCGTCTGCTCGCTTTTTTAATGCGAAAGCATTAACTGTCTTATGGAGCGAGCCGCGCCAGACGGCTTTCTCCAAGTGAGGCCAGCTCCCTGCTACGAAACCACGCGAAAAGCTATAGCCAACAGCACCTAAATTCCCCGATCCCAAAGGAGCGGAGTAGCTGATGGAGTTTCGGCTCCGGTCCCATTGTCTGGCGCGCGTCGACGAGGCTCCCATTGGCCGCTGCGTGTCGGTTTCAACGGCCGCTCACCCCATGCGTGTCCTTCAGCGCGCCGTTGACACAGAGCGTCCAAGGTCAGCGCGCCGAGGAGAGCGCGCGTTCTGACCGGCGACGAAAAGTACGCAGCACACGAAATAAGGGAGTGGACGAGCAGCTTGCATGCTTTCGCATTCACAACTCATAAAAAGTGCTTAGGTGTATCTCGAGCCTTTTCTGGTCTTCTGTCGCTCTTTCTTGTTCTTTCTCTCGGGACCACTGATGCTAGCGCACAGGATTCGACGCGTTCTGCTCTTGTATTCACCACCCTGGCGCCGACCGACGGGCATTGGACTGCCTCCAGGTATGGACCCCTTTGAAAAAGTATCTCGACAGTGAAGAAAAGCTAGATTTTGCTGGGTACACTGGGCAGCGGACGCCATCTTAAAGGATGCTCCCGGTTTGTCTACCTCGCCCCAGTACGAGTTTCGTTGTGTGGCCAAGAGATCGTGGGTGCAATGTAAGTGCCGTTTCTTTGTTACGCGCTGGGAAATTCTTTCTTTTTCTGCTTCGACTAAGAGAGTGTTACCATTAATTTATTAAAAGTGAGAATGGATTAGTTCCCTGAGCGCCTTTTATAGTGTTTCGATGATGCGCTCGCGGCCACCTTGTCGTGAAAGATAAGTGAGTAGATAACAGACATAATAAAACATAGAAAGGGCGAAACACAGATGCTGTGCTTTATTATTTATGTTATCTAGAATATACCTTTTTCGCGTACTCTCGCCTTTTGCCACCGGCAGGCATATCCTGTATGGGCGACGAAAAAACAATAAAACATTTCAGCTGCAAGTACTAAATAAATAACGGAGAGACAAAATGGGAATTTGCGACGGTTACGCTTATATCCTAAATGCATTCTATTGGCATGACGATGGCAAAACAATGTTTTCGTCCACAATGGAAGTGACAATTTTCAAGATGGCGGCGCCCTTGTGAAACAGTTCTATAATTTATAGCACCACGCTCGAGAGTCGTTAGGAATATAAGTGAATGTTCGTGCGTATGAGAGTTGAAAGGCTTGCTGTTGCATCATCCTGTCATTTTAGAGTCAACACTTTCAGTTTCTGTTTCAAACTGAAATAAACGTCGATTGACTGATTGATTGGTTGATTGATTGGCTGATTTTCCCGATCAGTCGCGAGCTTATGTAACACATAGTGCGCAGTTATCGGCGATCTGGTGACTACGGGCGACGCGGTATCCTTCAAGATGGCGTCCAGGCCAGTTGCCTTTCCGTGCGATAGATGGCGCTTTCATTATGAGGAGGACATTTCACGGAAAAATAAACAAAAGGATTGAAATTTTGTTTATTTTTGAGACCGTTGCAAATGCAGACTTTTGAGGGGTTAAATCAGTGTACTTAGCCGAACACGAGCAACATTGTCAGTGTCGGTGGCTCATTCAGTCCGAGGGGAAGGGGGGGGGGGGGGGGGGGGGGGCCGAAATTCCGAGCCGGAAGTGCCTCACGTAGAACCGCGCTCTAGTGAGGTCTATTTCCGTTGCATACGCTGCCGTAATGCACCCTTTCAAATAAGACGTGGTCGCGTCAAAATAAATAAATAAATAAATAAATAAATAAAACGCAAGAATATGGAGCATTTACTGCGGGCGCTTGCAAGCCCACAAAGAAATCGAGCGCCGTGACGATGCACTTTAGGCACTGCTTGATTGGCGGATAGTAGCGTGGGCTGCGGTTGGGTCCTAAAGTGACACGGAGTAAATAAGTGGCTCAACAGTGGTTCCTACGGTTCACCTCAGAGTACGAGGCGTCTTTCGTGTGCTTGGCCGGGGCTCCGAGTCCGTGCTGGGTCGCGTCTTCCAGCTCGAACTGGTTGCCGCCGAGCGTCAGAGTGAAGCAGACCCGGGATTTGGGTTCCTTGGCTGCCAACTGGGCGAGCCTCTCCACTTCGTAGTTCTGAAAGGTGGCCAAATCCGGATTGGGGACACTGTAGCCTGCCTAGATGACAGAGTGCGTTCAACTGCATGATCGGGGTCACGTGATGTACGGGGCCGCGTTCGCCATGTCAACAATAGCGTGAAACGATCAAAACCGTAATCACAAATTGTATTTGCACTTATATAATCGAAATTGTATCAATAATAAGTCGAAGCAATAAGGAAGAGTAAACAAAACGTCAATTCAGCTAAAATAAAGTTGAGCGCATCACTAATAATTCGAGCTTACTAAAGAGTAATCAAGGAATCGTGCGACTAGTAACTCAAATTAATCGAACTAGGTATCAAAATATCAGTTGTCTCGAACAAAATCTAATCGTATAAACAATTAAGTTATCAAAAGTGTAATGTCGGGGTTACAAGGTTCTCCTTGAACTCATTGTCATGCAGCATTCAAAGCACGAATCTCGTAGTGACGGATCAGGTTCGGATCTCTATACAGACTGTCTTTTGTCGCTGTATAAACAGTGTGACCTCGACTTAAGCGAAACACGACCACCGAAGACAAATAGGTGCACGTATATATTGTGGATTGAATTGACTGACCCGGGAATTAAATTGGGTAGCACTGGAAATAAATTGGATGGCGTTTGAATTCATTGGATGTCACTTAAATTAACATAACCATCGTTTGGATTAAATTGAGCGGGAAAACCTGCTAGGGTTGTGTGTTTTCGGTGTCTATTTTCCTTCCACAGATTTAGGGTTTTCGGCGTAAAGTTTTGGTGTAGAACGAGGCATAGGGGATCGTGGGGCTTGTGTTGAAGAAAACAGCACTCGGGTATGGGATTCCTTTAGATCCAGTGAACATGCGAGCGAGACCCGAATGCTTGTAAAACGCCCCCGTAGCGATAACAAGAATGAATAGGAGATGAGATGTGCGGTTTTGAAGCAAGAAGCAGCCTCGCGGACTGTTTAGTGTGAACTGCCTTCCCGGTCAACAAACAATAAAGCTTTAGAGTGTAAAGAAAAACAACTCCTTGAAGCTCGTGTTTTTTTTTTTTGTTTTTTATTCAAGGACAGCTCTAATTTGAGCTGTGCAATTTTTTCTCCGATTTTCGATAAAACCGCTTCGGAGATTCATTTTCGGGGTTAATTAACAATTCCCGAAAACACGGAACCCCTTGTGATACCCCGGGCAGGTTTGTCGACGCGTACTTACGAAAAAGAAGGTGGAGGTGTTGTTTTCGTACTTGCCGTACGGATTCACCAAGGTCGTCCGTGCGTCGGTGTGCCTTACCCTGCTCGTCTGGAAGCTGGCGAAGTCCACCGTCCTACGGGAACCGTGTCAGGAATTGCAGATATGTTCGTCGCAAAAAATAAAACGAAAGCGAAAACAAAGATTGCAGTTGTATTTCGATCTAGCGATCGAATCGTCATATACGCAGGATTCCGTTTTATGAGGAACGGGGCGGACCGTAACTTCAGTCCACAAACTGTATTACGGTATGCCCCAGTCTCAGCCTTTCAAGCACGCGACGCAATGTCTATCGGCGACTTCTCGACGGCACGCGGTTGCAACGCGGTTGCACAGAAGCGGTCACGGTGTACGTTTGCTCGCCAGTTTTCTCGAACGAACCAGATATTCACAGCGCCTGATGGCCAAAAGAAGAGGCCGTGAAAATAGGTTCAAAAGCACGGGATGAGAATCACCAACACACGTGGACAGTTTCGTGTGACATTTCCGACGAGAGGAGGAGCGTTGAAACGACAAAACGGTGCCGATTACTAGAAGGTCAGAACCACTGCACAATACGGCGGAACAACTGACATCGTGGAACGTGCAAGTCATTCCATAAGATAGCGAACGTCAAAGCGCGGTCAACGCTAAAAGCCAAAAAAAACATAAAAAAAAACAGCGTCGAAAGTGTGACGCTATTGTGATCATTGCCCCTTTCTGTTTTTGCCTGCTAATCTAACAAAACGCCTGAAGTGTGCCTTGACGTTGCAGTTTCATTTATTTCTCTATTTTATTTTCAGAAAACCCTGCAGCGCCAAAACATTACAATAGAAAAGCGGGAAATGTAAAAAAAAAAAAAAGAATCACAAATAACACACAACAGAACACAATTATGATAATCAACGAGGCAAATGAAATTTCGCACATTTCAGCACACAACAGCAAAATATAAGGTTTGTACAAATATTACAAATAACGCACATCACATCGACGACTCGCAACAGCCAGAAAAAAGCAAGTTCATAACGTATTGATCATTCTTGGTCCGCCATTGTGCAGGGATTCCCCAGCTGTCCGCAAAGGGCAGTCTTTCGAAAGTGCTTCATGGCGAAGGACCAGAGGAACACACAGACAGACCAGGCGCTGACCAACAACTGAATGTTTTTGGAAAAAATATGAAAGCCGCGAAACCCCTGAATGATGTATTACACCGGCCTCAACCAACACTAGACTCCTACACTCTTTCCGAAACAGGGAAACGGAGAGCGCACTGCCACACATCCTTACATCGTGACATGTCGAATGCTTCAGTAATGTCCCTCGCTTACTTGTTTTTGTGGCGCGTCATTACCAACAACAAAGGAACGAGGGAGATTAGTGAAGCATTTAACATATCCCGATCCACAGGAAGGCACGTGTGCCAGCGCGCCCTCTGTTGCCCTGTTTCAGAAGGAGGTTGAGCATCTTTGCCAATGGGAGCTTAGTGCGTGACGCCATGGTTTATTTTAAAATTTCGCGGCTTTCGCGTTTTTTTTTTAAAGCGCAGCTCTTAGGGGCCCGTTTCCAGCCTGAGCGGCGTCGGCGTCGCCGTTGGCGTCGCCGTCGCCGTCGGCGTAACCGCGCCCCTCCCTCTCCTCCTCCTCCCCCTCCTCCTCCCCTCCTCCTCCTCCCCTCCTCCTCCCCTCCTCCTCCTCCCCCTCCTTCTCCTCCTCCTCCCCTCATTGTGTAGTATGGTCCGGGCGGGTCACGTGACCTCGGGGGGAGGGGGTCACATGACCCGTTTCCAGCCTGTGCGGCGTCGGCGTCGGCTTCGCCCCACCCCCTCCTCCTCCTCCCCCTCCGCTCCTCCTCCTCCCCCCTCCTCCCCCGCCCGGTAAAGGTGGTAAAGGAAAGGGAGAGGGAGCAGGAGGGGAGGAGGACTAGCAGGCATGATCACGAGGGAGGAGGAGGAATATACCCTCCACTCCTCCTCCTCAAGAGCTGCGCTCCAATTCGGCGTTACAGGAAGTTGTAAACGGCTTTCACTTTTTTTTTTTTCTAATAAAAAATTCAGCTTTCAGTTAGCGCCTGTCCTCTGGTCCGTCGTCATTTTGCACTGTTTTCTCGTTTCAGTCGTATTGACACTGGTGAATTTCTCATCTTCAGCGCAGACAGCAGACGCCCGTCGGGACAAACTGCATTCCCGCTGTTCTAAACGTGCACACAATACAATTACTCCCCTTTGAAATAAGTGGGGTCGTTGAGCGGCCGATTTCTCACCGCAGGATGGCGAGGAGATCTTGCTCCACCGTTTTCTGGGTACGATCGACGCCGATGGTGATCAGGTACCGGTCTCTGAAAGAGGCGCGAAGAGCCTGCGAGACACGAAGCTCATGCTGTCGGCGCTACGAAAACCGTGCTGCAAAAAACCCTGTTTAAAAGCCCGCCAAGAAAACATGTCGGTTGGCATTTCTAGGCTAGGTGGCGCAAGCTACCTCCCGTCACAAAGCGTACAGCCGTTAGCACCCGTCCATCCGTCCACATCGTTGGGCACGAAGCGTGTGATTGGATCCGAGCCCTCGCCGAACGCAGCACTATTTTTCGATACGAGCTGAGCCAACAACACCTAGAATATTCGTAGCCTGTGCACGAGAACTTTGACGTCATCAGAGTTAGGTCGAACGAAGACGCAGATTGGGCACGAGTCTGACGTCAGCGTTCGGCTGGGCCTCAAGACCAATCAACGCGTCGAAGGACGCTCCGCATCGGGCTCGGGTCCAATTGCTGAGTTGGCGCCATTCGCCAGTAATAACGTTCCATTAAAAAAAAAAAAAAAAAAAAAAAAAAAAAAATCCGCAAAGTTTGGTGTTTTTTTGATTTTTTGCTTTTTTATGCTGCCCGCTATGTTTTATTTTCACGTAACTGAGCTGGAAAAGAATCGGAAGGCTCTAGAAGTCAAAAAGTTCGTGCCAGTAGTCCTACTTTTTTTTGGCTATATTTATTTTTTATTGTAGTTATGGTTAAGCTATTTACTTTAGTTTTTGTCGCCCAACCCAACTAAGTCACATTTCAACGTGGCAACCGTCACCCTAAAAACCGTAATAAAAAAAAGCCTCCCTTTTCGCGAAATTTCACTAACCTCCCCTTTACCTGTGTTGAATTAAGATATACGTAGGTGGATTCTTACATAAACTTTATGTTATGTTATTAAGGCGTTCGCGTTTCAAAAGCCAAAATCATCGCTTCCTTCTGCATGTGACATACAAATCATCTTAGAACTACTTCGCCCGTCGCACGAGTATTGCTCAAAACAGGCTTTTTTTTCTCTTGAAGTGGCAATCAGTATTTATTTATTAATTCATTGCTTCAGGTTACCTTGTAGCGCCTAAGAAGTCATTTTTGCGAGAAAGGAATGTGAATACACGAGAAAATGTACAAAAGCACAAGGCACGATAACATGAGAGCGCAAAACAAATTTGTAGCGATTACATGGTACTCAATTGAACAGTGGCATGATCATGAGAACACTCGCGTAAGTTTAAAAATTCTGCACTAAAGATATTATCAACGAACAAATTTGTAGATGTGATGTTGAACGTTTCTTCTGGTAGGGAGTTCCAGTCGGTCATTGTAGATGGAAAGAAAGAGGTTTTAAATACATCCGTTCTATACAAGTACTCTCTCACTTTTCCGAGTGATCTGTCTTTCCTGATGTGAAGTGGGGAGGCAGCACATAGTTCTTAGGTAATTGTGAAAGATGCTATGATAGAATTTCAATCGCACAGACCTCCCTCTGGGGGTTAGTGAGATTAAATTCAGCTTTCTTTTTATCTGGCTAACACTCGATCTAAAGTTGTAATTACTTGCTATAAACCTAGCTGCTCTGTTTTGTATTGATTCCCAAAATATGCGTGGCTGGGGTACAGGAAAACACTTGCGTACTCTAAGATAGGTCTAATATACGTAATATATAATCGCTCTTAATATTCATAGGGAAACCTCTCAAGTTTCTTTTAATAAAGTCAAAGGAGCGATGGAACAATTTTTGTACTGTGCACAACTATACCGCTTAAAACGGATCCCTAACATTAATGACCTATGAAACATGCGTTCGTTTTTCACCCCACGCAATAGAAGTCCCAGAAAAAAATTAAAGAAAATTGAGCAGCGTTCACCCCCTCAACTCGCAGCCAGAACAAGCGGTCACGTGATCTGGAGCCGATTATATGCCGCCAGTGTTGATCATAGCCACGCGCTGGGGTTGGCAAAGCGCAGGACACGCGCTGAGTTCCAGACATTGTTATGGCTCGGCTGTTCTCGTCGTTACAGCGATTGGACACGGGTCACAACCCGAATGCTTCTCGAGCTAGCAATTGTCACGAGCCCAAGTCGAGTGCCCACGCAATGCTCAGGTCCAATCTATGAACCGCATTCAAATGTCGTCACTTGGGTGTACTGCGATCCCCGAGTTACGTCATCAAATTTTGCAAAGGAGAGATTGAATGAAAATGATCGCTTTTGTCCTTGAAATTACACCGCAACAAAGGAGTTTCTTGGCCAATGGCGTTGCGTGTGAGTATCCTTGAGTCCCAGGTGTGCCAGTAAGCTCGTGTAGAGAGAACAACATCCCATTTGAATATCGTTGCACAGCTCCTTTAAGCATCCGAGTCGCTTTTGCGGTTATGTAGTCCACGTGTTTTGTGCAGGTGCGAATTTCTGAAATATATACGCCGAACTATTTCACACCTGATACTGTCGCCAAAGAATTTCCGCTCATGTCATATGTACATAAGACAGGCTTGCTGTTGGGCGTAAAACGTATGTATGCGAGAACATAACCTATATTTAACTTCATGCCCCATGTTTAAGCGCATGAAGCATGAAGGTACGTTTAAGAGCATGAAGTATGAAGCATGAAGCTACGGAGCATGAAGTTAAACCTATGTTTAACTTCGTGCTCCGTATCTCAGCACCAGGCTGCGATACGGCGGATGTCATCTTCTAATGCCCAATTCAGGCGGCCATTTTTCGAACTTCAAAATACTGCCGCGCTGAGGGCCGAGCAAACAACGCTCAGTCACGGAATTCTAGAAGATTCCCGTTTATTCTTACTCGGGGCGTAATTTTTATCATTTCGTCTTTCTTTCTTGTTCTCGAAAGAGCCTGTTCATTCTCGCCCCGAGCCCGCGACGCTCGAAGCTTCTTTGCCGAATATTCCAGGTGCCGACACACTCCAGATAAGGAGCGGCCTGCGACCTCGTCGAGTCTCGCTCGCTGTTACGCCGCCGAATCGCCGCCCGTTCCAGCCACCGAAGCGGTTGAAGCACGCCAGCGATCGGGCTACCGCAACTAACCGCGAATCTGCTTTTCTGTGAATTTTGAGTGTCGGTTAATCTTTTATAATCGTGTAGAGAAAGAATAGCAACGTCTGGGACTCCCAAAAGAGTGTCACGTTGAATGCGGAGTTCCTCCCTTCCCTCTTCTCTTGTGCTGGCCGTAGAGCTGTCGGGATGACATCAGGTTCAAAGCGTGTATAGTTCTAAAAGAGACAGTTACCGTCACTACCTGTCAAGGTTCCTGACGGGCATTACAAACGAGTCTTTAGCGACATCCACCAGGCGCTCTTTGCTAATCGTTTAATTCGTTTTAAAATTCCTTTTCGTGTCCGTTTTTTTAAACAAGATATTGATGTGTCCGGTGTGATACTTCTCTTTTGAACGCGTATAGACCAAGAAATAAGCGCCGAAATTTTGTTGTAGTATCCCTTTAACATCTCAGCTCTACCACCTATATCCGCCGCACGCAAGTATGTCCGGTATCCGCCTTGGCATTTTAAATGGTCACAATGAACCGATCTCAATAAGCGTTCTGCGCGTGCGTGACGTCGCCGAAATACGTGATGCCACACGTGCATGATTCTGCCACCGACCAACACGACCTAGAATAATCAAAGCCTGCTTTGACGTCTTCACAGCGAAATCGAGCGAAGACGCAGATTACACATGACGCGTTGATTGGACCCGACGCACAGCAGAGCGCTGACGTCAGCGCTCGGTTGGGCATCGTCTCCAATCAACGCGGTGCAGGACCCATCGGCATCCGACCGGTATGACGTTCCATGGAGTAAGTTCGCAGGCCTTGATCATTCTCTGACGTCACGCCACCGCGGTGGCGCTGCTCAGCTGCTGTCGGTACTGCGCATGCGCAGAAGCTTCCTCTCACTCGAATACGGTTCCTGCGCACGCGCGGGCTTGTTTGTAAACAGCGTGTTACTGAAAACGAGTAGAGAGGAGAATGCCTTCTCTCTTCTCACCCCGGAACGTCGTCTGCTCCGAATGGGCGTTTGGTACTGCAGGCAGTACCAAACGCCTGTTCGGCGTGCAAACACGACTGAAAATTGCGTCGCTTTCTGCACTACTAGCCGCATATACACCGATCTAGATGTGCAAGTTAATGTACAGTGTTATACCCGATAACGAGACTAACCGGGGCACAATCCTGCTGTCACCTGCCACGCAATAAAAAAAAAAAAAAAGAGTGAGTACAACCCCGTAGACAATGTGATTGGTCCGTCATAGCTACGACGAAAAGTGAATACGGTTGCAGTAGCCTTTTTGCTAGATAGTGTTCGTACTGACTTAGGCCTTTACCAAGTATGTGTGGGAAATCTCGATTTAAAAAAAAAAAAAATAAAGGAAAACGTGCCGACCAAGTATGAAACAACAAGAACAACAATAAACAACGAAAACCTTACGACGCAGGTGCGCCTGCAGCGGAGTTAGTGCAAAGTTGTTTATTGTAGTTTATAAAAAATAAAGTAATGCAGCACGGCGCTTCTTTGACTAACAAAATTCTATTACATATGGCTGGGAACACGTCAGAAAAACCTCTCTGGGCTTTACTGTTTTTGACCCCGGGGTAAAAACAAAATGACGTTTGCATGGTGGTGTACAAAAAACAAGCGAGGCTATTTTTGAACTCAAAAGTGTACTATCAGGATTATGTTGTCAGCTGACCCAGTACACGCAGCGGTTGAGGTACAGTAGTGCCGGGGAACGCCATTGGTATTGAAATAACCGAACAGAGGTAAGCTACTTGATTGTTTACTGAAATAAGACAACAGAGCAAAAAAGATTGTTCCTGGAGTAGACATAAATGTTCTAGAGACTCTAACCACTTCACATCGGCAGCAGCGAGCGAGCGCTAGATGTTCGGCACAGCCCACGGATACTACACAAAAATGGAGAATGGTCGGTTTGGCGCCTGCTATGGGGATCGGGTTGATCAGTCGCGTGTCCTCTCCCTCTTTTACCCCACCAAATTCGCTGAAATGCCCGGATGTAGCGCAACGGCGCCGCCCTTAGAACACTTAGAGGAATGGTCTATATATATAGGTAGCGTTACACCGACAGGCTGCCGATCCGCGATTAAGCCTGCCACAAGATCAGTGGTGACAGTGGTTGATAATGGTGATAATGATAATAGTGATTGCAACGATGGCAGTACTGTAATACTGCTCTCGTTCCGGTTGTTCTGGCTGGCTGGACGGAGGGTAGATGTTAAAGGCTTATACTCTTTAAATCGGGTGGCAGCTTGCGCCACGTAGCCTAATGATGATGATGATGATGTTCATAGTGATTGTGCTGCGCTCACCGTGATGATGCCCAAGACGTTATGGATACTTCTGGGCAACACATCCAGCCCGGACAGATGGAGTCCGTCGACGCCGCTCCTGTCCAGCCAGACCCTCGCGTCCTTAGCCAAGCGCTGGGCACTCCAGCCGGTCCGCAGCATGGCCTCCACGTCCACGGAGAGCAGAAGACGGACGTCGGGCGCGGTCTCGCGCACGTGCAGGAACTTCCGAAAGGCATCTGGGTGCATTTCGGAATAGGAGCCAAATGATATTTCGCTCGTTGAAAGGCACGGAAACAGAGCATCTCTCGGAGACATGGACGTCTCTCAGTTCTATACTTCGTACAGCGCCAAAGCGCACCAACGTGGTGTTCGTGGTGTTTCCGTAACGTGTTTGATCATCGCTGAACCATGTCCCATATCTACAGGGAAGGCCAAATAACTTGCAGTTTTGACGCCGTTTTTTTTTTTTTTTTTGACGCTTACATTAATGGTCTTCCGTTTTCCACCTAATGACGACGTACAAGCGTAATAATGTCGTAAGTCGCCATCCTGGCGCTGTCGCAACAGCGGAGGAGGATATTTGTGACGCGGGTTCTGTTCACTTCTTGTACACGTTACTGAAAAACAAGTAATCGATGACAATTTTATTCACTCTTGGTTAAAAAGTATTCAATTAGATTGCTCGATTACTTGACAAAAAAAAATTGACCGTTACTTGAGAAAAAAATAGCTATTTCTCCGATTACCTGATAGTTTCAAACCTCCCCCGGTTTGAAAAACAGGTCTTTCGTATAGTGTCCGATATTGGTGTAGAATCACAGAACTAGAGACTAATGACCTTCTCAATCTACTGATTTTGGTGGACAGTCTTCCTGTTCAGAGCCTCGGTTTGGGCATTCTTCGGCAAAAAGCTTGTAGAAACAAAGCATTAAGAAAGAAGAGAAATGTGGTAATGGTCACGAGAAATCTTAGTACTTCCAAAAGTAATCATATTGCTCTTGCGATTACTTTATATGAATGCGATCAAAGGATTACAAAACTACACCAAAAATAATCGATTAGAAGTAATTTGAACAAAATGTTCAGTTGGGCTAGTTGTTTCATGACTGGATAGGAGTATCGAAGGACAAGGACAAAGCGAAGAAGTGAAGATTTGATTACTTGTAATGAGTTCCGTGTAAATACGTTCTGCTGTTGGGAAAATGTTTCCTCTCAGTGCTGTGTGAAATGTTAAATGCGAAAGGATTTCTTTGGGTCACCTAACCAATAAAATCGTGTTCCTCCGCCCTTCACAGTCAAATTTACCCGAGGGACCCAAATCAATCTCCCCGCTAATTCTAGCGGGAGGCGTTTCCACGCTAGCGGGACAATTTCAATTGGTGTCTAGTTTCACACAAATGCAATTTACTCGCTACGTTTAGAGGGGAAAGCCTCAATTGGTGTACAATCACAATACAACACTTCAATTTAGGAAGAACTGACCCCTTCCGAAACTCACGTACGGATCATCAGAAGGTCGGAACCACGGCACCACGGCACAACTGACACCGTTGAACGCGCAAGTCGTTCCACAAGACAGCGAGCATCGAAGCGCGGCTAACGCCGACGAGTCAATCAGACCGCGTCGAAAATGCAACTTCACTGCTCTCGTCTCCTCTTTCTGGGCTGTGTTTTAAGGCCAAAGCCATACTTGCACCATTACGCGAAAAAGCGGCGGCATAGTGCCCGATAGATGGTCACACCAATACGTCATCAAGCACGCGCCTCAGACGTAGAACACAAAGAAAAGCACAGCAACGCAGATGCTTTGTCACGGAAGCCGTCGTGAGGCCGACGGGGTTCGCCGCGCCCGCGCAGGGGGAACGCCGTGCGAAAAAGGAAGACCTAGTGCGCTGCTTGCCGGAATGCTTTCGCATTCCTACACACAAGCAGTTTTAAGTGTCTTCTAATCCAACCGAACGGATAAAGTGTGCCGTGACGATTGCGGTTTTTGTCCGCCATTGTGCAGAGATTGCACAGCTGCAGCCAACAGAGAGCATACTCTTTCAAAAAGGGTCTAGAGCTGTCACGAAAATGGCGTCTCGCTGAGGCAAGCCGAAAACGCCGAGCTCGACCAAGCCCACCTATCAAGGCCTGCGAGCATTCTCCCACGGAACTTCGTCACAGTCGGAGAGCGCCAACTCAGCCAATGGACCCGAGCCCGACGCCGAGCGTCTTTCGACGCGCTGATTGGACGCGAGGCCCAGTCGAATGGTGACGCAGCGATCGGGTCCAATCGCCGTCCTCCCTCGATCTGACTGTGACGATGATACCAACATTCTTGTGCGCGCGGGCTCTGATTATTCTATTGGTGGTGTTGGCTCGACTGTTGTCTGAAAATAATTTTTTTGGTTTTTAAGACATGTTTACACATTCACCGTACCGCTGACTAAGCGCTAATTTCGCGCCAAATAATCGCTCTATTTGCGCGCCGATGTATGCGACCCCACCTTTTCTTGCTGACACACATACAATGAAGCGCCAGCGCATTAGTCAGCCGCTCGTGCTGATTTAACTGTGCGCTGAACTTCATGCATGCATGCCTTTACGAATAGAATGGGCGGCGCGTATCGCGTTTTTTTTCTCCTCGTAATCGTCTGAACATGGCGGCAGAAAGTCGTACTAGGGTCGTAGGAGTAGAGGACGTCTTTGTGACGACGGTTCTCGGCGCTTGGGTGGTTGGGCACGCTGGCGTAGATGAAGTGGGTGCACACTCCGTAGGGGTAGACGCCTTCCCTGTAGCTCGGCGTGAACCGGCACAGAAGTTTGGCGTCCGTGGCTGCGAAAAAAAAAAGCGTTTGCGTCCACGGGACTGCCCACTTAAAGGCTACGTTACTAGAACAGCTCAGTTGGGAAACTGCCATAGAGCCTGCTCTGAAAAAGTGGCATCGATCCGTACTTGAGAACCGAGCTAATGACGATCGCAACGCCGCCATTTCTCTCACAGCGGCCACTCGGGGAACTGCACGGCTGCTCGTATTGGTACGTGAGTATCGCATTCGATAGCGTCCATAGAGCATACAGATGCAACCCCCATCTCCCAAGGGGTGGTGCCGCGAATTACTACCGAAGTTAGGACGCGCATACCTGAAATCACTGGTGAGACATGGTTGTATAAAAACAATATTAATTGTGCCACAAAACCATGTAAACTAAAAATTTTAGAAAATATCGCGCGCCTGTCATTCTGAACTAATCTACAAAAAAGTTCCTATACAAAAATAACTTTTTCCGTTTATTCTTATGCAAGAACATGCTGGCTTTTTAAAAGCTGATGGTGGCCAGAGTAAAGAACAACGTTACTAGAACCACTCAGTTGGGAAACTGCCATAAAACCTGCTCTGAAAAAGTGGCACCGATCCGTACTCTTGAACCGAGCTAATGGCGATCACCACGCCGCCATTTCTCCCGCAGCGGCCGCTCGAGGAACTCCACGCGACTTCTATTTTGGCTTTAATTGGCCATTTTGGTGCCGAAACAGATACGGTGGAAGGGATTTCAGGGTGCCTCCCCCGTCTCCCAAGCGGACGCGCCGCGAAATACCACTCAAATTAAGATGCGCCTAGGTTGGGACGCGCTACCTGAAATCACCGCTGAGGAATGGTTCTATAAAAACAATATTAAATATGCCGATAAACCTTGCAAACTAAAGATTTTAGAAAGCATCACACGGCGCGCCCTTCATATTGTACTAAACTTCAATCAAAGTTACTACAAAAAGAGTTTTTTCCGTTGGTTTTTACGCAAAAACATGCTTTCTAGAAGCTCAAGGTGACCACAGTACAGACAAATGATAATGAGTGGCGCTGTTGTCGTATTTAGCGCGGTCTCGGTGGACGCCAGCGGCCCAGGCTTCAACGGTGAGTTTCCCAACTGAGAGTTCTAGTAACGTTGATAAAAAAAAAAAAAAAAAAAAAAAAAAAAGCAAAAAAACATTGAGTTGCCATTTTGGCTCCTCCAGTTTGGGAGTTCTGGTACTCTGGGAGCATTCAGTGACTCTAGCAGTAGCCTAAAGCAAATTTCATGTTTCAACTCGTCGCTAAAGGGTGACGCTGTTATCGTATTTAGCTCGGTCTCGGTGGACGCCAGCGGTCCAGGTTGCAGGGGTGAGTTTCCCAACTGAGTGTTTTAGTAACGTTTCTTAAAGAGAAGCAGTGCCAGCTATAAAAGACAAAGACCTGCGCATTTCCCTCCCCAAAGCGTCATCACTCCTGGGTTCACGCAGCGCCGCCTTGCCCGCGTCAGCGTTGCCGCAAGCGCGTCTTGCGGCATCTCATAACGAGCGCGATGCTATATTGCATATGGCGACGCCAAGACAGACGCATCTGCCGCATTTGCGGCGGCTCTCGTCGAGCTTCGCCGAGTCGCCGCTTGGGGCGGGCCGGGGACTTACGCTTAAATGGTAAAACAAAATGGCTAGGTGGCGTAAGCTACCGCCCGATCCAAAGGGCTCAGCCGGATTCATTCATGCATCCATCCATCTAACGATGACGTCACGCTCATGCCTCATCTTATAGGTGATATTGACTAAAGTGGTTTCTGAGATCGTCAATTTATGGTCACAACTCAATCTACAGACTCTAAGCATTAAAGAAAAAAAAAAGTCATGTTGATTCGCGTCCGATTGCTCTATGAAAAATGGGAAATTCAAAACAGGATTGGTTTCCGTATTTATTATTTTTTTTTTTTATTTGGCGCAGAAATTAGTGGTCGCTCTCGGACGTGCGACAGCCAATCGCGAGTGAGCGCTTCCTGCGCGAAAATCTCGCACATTAGAAAATCGGTCCACCGTTGATCGGCCGTCTTGCCGCGCGGGAAGTGATCGCTCCGGTTCGTTTTGACCAACGAGGTAGAGGGGTTTAGAGCGATAAACCGGGGTTCCGGTCTGCACTCGAAAGTGACCCCCATAAGGAGGCTGCCATTGTACGCAAATTTGACCACACGTCACATGACCAAACCAAATACGTGACGTCACAGGAAAGATGGCAGCGCCCATGGAGCGGCTGGCCCCAGCTGGGCCGGAGCTTGTCGGATGCTTTGTTGGTTGTCGTTCGTCTCGGCGAGTTGATTTCAGACGCGGAAGCCGTCATATGAGGCCGGTCGAAAGCGAGTTCAGAGTTCAGCGTGGTGTTTGACGTAGGTATAATGTGAAAATACGGAGAAACGGTGTGCATTTCGCTGGTGACCGACCGGGATATTGCCACGGATGAGACAATCTGACCTACGTTGCTCGGACCTCGGATTGATTCGGATACCGCTAGGATAAAATTTAAGGCGACGTTTCTGTGCTCTCGTTGACCATCGGAATCTTCGAGGTTTGCAGTGAAGCGTGTGCAATATATTTGGATACACAGTTTAGCGACGGAAATTGCCTGAGTCGTGCTTGGCGGTGTGCAATCGCGGTGCAGCTTCGATCAAATGACCGAGGGCTCACTTCGGTTGTGCGGCGCACCGGAAGGCTGCCTTGAAGCTGGTAGTTCTTGTGCCGTGCTGAATGATGCTGTGCTGCTTACAAATTGTTCCGGCGTAGAAGTGCACTTTCACGGAGCACAGGTGTGCGGCGCACCGAAGAGCTGCCTTCAAGCTGGTAGTTCCTGTGCCATGCTTTAGGTGATGCTGTGCTGCTTCCGAAATTGTTCCGGCGTAGACGTGCACTTCCACGGAGCACAGGTGTTGCAGTTGGTATTGATCTCGCTGATCTGTCGCACGTTTCGTCAACACAAACGTTTCATCCACTCTCGTTACGCGAATTGCAAGCTGTCCGGACATTTCACCGAGCGTGTTACGTACCCAGCTCACGCCGCTTTGTGGCAACAGTCTGCAGTGGCTCATTACCAGAAAAGTGGTCCCACATCCATTTCAGTTCAGTTCGTCCACGGTAGTCGCCAAACCTCGAAGGAGAGGATTTATTCGGACAGAATGCCACTAAAGCACTGCAGCTTCTTCAGTGGTCAGGATAGATTCTCTTCTGCTAGTTTTGTTATATTGTCTCGGATCCTTGTTCCAGTCCTATCTTCTATCAATATTCACTATTCTGGGACACTGCAGGTCATGCTCAGCTGTAATCGTATGTTCAGGTGGAGGTACTGGGCACTTTACCCGTAGCCCTTCACTCTGTGTGAACCCGGCGGCTCTTCAGCCGAGTTACCCGATAATGGGACACGACTGGCGGACTATTCTGCGTCTTTTACCCCTGTCGAACCGTAGGCAAAGTCCTGACCCGAGCCTGGCAAAACAACCGCAAGACGACCGAGTACCACAAGGAGTAACCTCGGAAATACACCACGAAGCACCTGAAATCCGAGCCAGTTGCTGCTACCAGGAAAAACCACCGGAATTCGGTCTCCTGTCAGAAAATCCGAAGCTGACTAAGCCAACAATGACAAACCTGTAGCAGCAAACCGTGTCCCCTCCCACCATTGTTTGCATGCCCGTCGCAAATCACACTCCAACGCTTTTTCACGCAAGCTGTATGAAGACGTCAAGGACTGGATTGAACAATATGACAGTGTCGCCCGCCACATCGGGTGGACAGACAACCAGCTCCTGCAGAACCTATACTTCTCGTGGAAGCAACTGCCGGCGCTGGTCTCAGAACCATGGATCCTCCTTAACGTCATGGGAAGTTTGCAAGATCGAGCTGAAGCGCGCATCCGTCAGCCAACATCAACGAAAGAGAGCCGTATTCTTGATTCTGTCCAGGACACTGCCCCAATGAGAGCGCCACCGCACTCGTAAAGGATGCTTTGCGCTTGATCGAGCGCCCACGCCCACGCCCACGCCGACCTTGATGCTACAGAAGACAAGAACCTAAGAATCCCATGCGCCTCACGTGAGGGACAACACCTTCGGCAGCCTTGTCCGCAACCCCCCAACAACAGTCGAAGTGTTCATATCACTGAGGCTTCCAACATGGAATGTGCACTGCATGCCCGAGCCTGCCACTATGAACAACTTCCCGGCGTCTCGACACTCGAGTTGTCCAGCTACTACTTCGACGCCAGCCTCCCAGGCATCTACGACATCACCCACGACGTTGTCTGGGAGGAGATCAGGAAGCTACTTCCTGCCATCAGTTGCCCGGCTTTTATTTTGATTTCCGAGATTGTTTCGGAACAAGTTTGACAGGTATTTCAACCGAGACTTCTGCGAGCGAAGCGACATCTGACAAACCAAGGGCAACTTACGCCACAATGGCACGACGACCGCCACTGGCTGCCCCTTAGTATTCAATGCCAATTCAATGAGACACTCTAACGCTGAAGCATTCCCGACATTGTGTGTAGAACTGTGCTCAACAAACTACACCGAGGAAAACGTAGGTGATGCGAATGTGCGACCGAAAACCACTTTGCTACCACTGCATGAAGCCTACCATGTCTACCAAAGCAGCCCGTACCAATGACTTGGTCGGCGAGGGTTCGTGCCAAACGACCCTCGATTACGTCTCGAGGAGCGACCACGGGAGATTAAGGATTACCTTCGGCGACCTTTGTCCCTGATGCCGAAGGTGCTGAGTCGAAGATTCTGAATCCCTGATTACCCCAAAGCTCCTCATGTCCATCACCTCAACAAGAGGTAAGCACGACAAAGCAGGTGAGCGGCGATGCAGTGACAGTGGATTTGGTGTCCGTTGTCGTCCAAGTACAACACCTAAAAATTTGCTGACACCAATTTTCTGTGTTCACTCCACGAAGCACACAATTTCCAACTTTGAGGGAGAATGCCCCTGAGTGACTTGAAGGAATAGAATGGTTGGTTGCTCTCAAAAGTGAACTG